GAGTTTGCACATACACACATTGTCGTTCGAATCGATCGTGCATTAAAGTCATATGGTAATGCTTTTCATCAGATAAAAAAAAGGTCTAGTAATTATGATAAGACGGATTAATCGTTTGTTCTTGCGATATTATCTGTATCAGATACAGATGCGTAGAAAACACGTCTATATCTATAATCATTCTTGATAACGCAAATGATCGCACGATCATCGCTCGTCGTACAAACGACGAGCTACTACTAACTATGCTCAAAAATGTCAACTATTTTTTCACAATACTCTTGTCTTTTTACAATACCTTTTAGTAGTTTTTTATTTACCTCCTTGTTTTATTTATGCCTGCAAACGATCGTAATCAGATATCAAACGTCAAAATCGTCCGAAATTATCCTGTATTGAATCGAGCATCATTCGTAATCCTATCTTGCCAAAATCTATTGCAATTTCCTTTCCACAAAGCATAATTACCCCCGAGAAAGGATTCGCGCGCCGTCGCCGTGCACTGAGAACACCTCGTGACATTTTCGCGTTTAAAAATAACCCGAAACGATAGTTTTGGATTTAATTCGAACACCATCGCTGTTATCTGTAACTTCGTGATAATTCATCCGTGGCGATCTGTCTAACCTCTGCTTTACAAGCATCGCGATGCACGTCATTTTGCTTTATTTTTTGCATCAGAGATATTGTTTATTTTCGAAACAGGTAAAGTGGATCGTGAAATAAAATAGGATCGAGATAACAACTGTACAGTGGAAGAGGAAGATTCGATGGAAAATTTAATCGGGCGCCAAAATGATCCCCCTTTTCCGTGAATCCCAGGTACGGTACTGAGGGAGGTTGCTGCCCGGCCGGCATCGCCATTTTGGCATTCGTAGCCAGAAAGTGTGTGTGTGTGTGCACGCGCGAGGCCACAGTGCAGCAGCTGGCGACCTTTATCTATACATTTCACTCACTCGCTCGCTCGCTCGCTCGCTCGCTCACTCACTCACTCACTCACTCACTCACTCACTCACTCACTCACTC